GCACGTACACATACCTACACACATGGACACACACACGCATACAAATGAACACATATACACCCGTGAACACATACCCATCCACACACACCACATACATCCTGCACATGAACACACATACATGCCTACACACATGCATGTGCATGAAAACACACACTTATACATGAACACGTGTGCACACATATGAACACATGACCATGCAGCACACATACCTACACATATACACACAAACACACATTTGGAAATTTAAAATATCAATTCACATTTAAACTCCTAATGGCCTTCTAGAAAGTTTAGAAAATAAGGGATAAGAAACTTCTGATGCCACCACCTCAACAAACAACCCGACATCTTTATCCTCGTGTGTAATAAATGGTGACAATCTTTCCTCCAACTGGGCAGATAAATTAGGTGCACTTTTTAACTTCTGGGAAATGCTTCAAAAACAGGATAGAACAGAAAGTTTTTATTTGCAAACACTATTAACCATTTCCTGTTCCAACCTCAGAAATAGCTGTGAATCAGCTGCCTCCTCCCAGGGCCACAGTGCCTGGGCTCGGAGGTCACTGACATCCCCTCCGCTGCCGCCTCAGAGTAGTGTCGGGATGATCCTTCTGCTTCCTGTGCTTCTCCCTGGATGGAAACTGCCTCTGCCTCCAGCTGTGCCTGGGAGCGCGGGATCCCCTCTCTCCTGCTTTCCACCTGTGCCGGTGCTGGTGTTCGCACCCACCCTCGCCCTGCCCTGGGCGTCACCTTTGGGCAGCGGCACCTTGGAAAATCGGCTCCTCTTCTCCAACCAGGAGGATGGGAGGACTGTCGGGAGCTGCTCCAGGTCCCTGAGAACCAGACACCCATTCAGGAAGGATCGAGGTGCCGCCTCACAGACAAACTTCTGGGCCCCCCTCTGCCTCCTGAGCTCTCTTCAGTTGGTCCGGCAGGAAGTAGATGGGGAGCCAGACTTGCCAGAGAGAGGAGAGCACACCACAGAGACAGACACACGGACGCCACAGCACCAAACACCCGGCACGGATGGCGCCCCCGGAGTGAAGCTGCGGTTCACGCGGACGCCACACAACAACGTTCCTCGCAGCTCTGCTCACAACCACCGAAACCTGAGATCAACCCATCAGACGGTGGCCAAGCAAACCGAGCCACCCAGCACAGAGCCCACAGGGCATAAAAAGGAGGCATGACACGCGACACGTGTCCACGGGGTCACGCTGCGTGAAAGCTGTCCCAACAGCCACACAAGGATCATCCCCTTTATGTGCATGTGGAAGTGACAAAGTAGGATAGACAGGAGGATAGACAGGGCTGCAGGGGAGCAGCAGGAGGACCCCACGGTGACAGAGCGCAGCGGCTCACAGAGCGCAGGACGCTGGGCCGTCACATGGCTAAAATGATGCAGCGCTAAACACACACACACACACACACACACACACACACACAAGTAACCAGCTGAGCAGTACGGGTGGGCTCTACCCACGTTGGCATCCTAGTTGTCAGGTAGTATGTCAGCTGTGCAGAATGGTGTCCCTGAGAGATGGGGCGGTGTGCACAGTGGTCCCTCATTTCTCACAAGTGCAAGGACACTGCACTTCCTCAGTGACAACACACAACACCCGCTTTACTGGAGATCCCATCGACCTGAGGGTCCCAGGGTGTCCCTGACAACCCCAGCCCGGGACAGAAGGTCAGGACAGGAGACAAGCAGCCCCAGCTGTGACCCAACCTGGGACTTCGCAAACCTGAGGGGGTAAAGCCAAGACACAGGGCAGGGAAGAGAGGGCCAGCAGCTGAGGGCACTCGAGGGGTCAGAGGGAGCCCTGGACCTCCCTCTCCCTCCCACCGGGAGATCTATCCTATGCCTCATGAAGGAGGAGGGGACATGTGATGGGGACAGAGTGTGTTATGGGGACAGAGTGTGTGATGGGGACAGAGTGTGAGATGGGGACAGAGTGCATGATGGGGACAGAGTGCTTGATGGGGACAGAGTGTGTGATGGGGACAGAGTGTGTGATGGGGACAGATGCGAGATGGGGACAGAGTGTGAGATGGGGACAGAGTGTGAGGTAGGGACAGAGTGTGTGATGGGGACAGAGTGCGAGATGGGGACAGTGTGCGTGATGGGGACAGAGTGTGATGGGGACAGAGTGTGTGATGGGGACAGTGTGTGTGATGGGGACAGTGTGTGAGACGGGGACAGTGTGTGAGATGGACAGTGTGTGTTGGAGACAGTGTGTGATGGGGACAGAGTGCGTGATGGGGACAGAGTGCGTGATGGGGACAGAGTGTGTGATGGGGACAGTGTGTGTGATGGGGACAGTGTGTGAGGTGGGGACAGAGTGTGAGATGGGGACAGAGTGTGAGATGGGGACAGAGTGTGAGATGGGGACAGTGTGTGTGATGGGGACAGAGTGTGAGGGGACAGAGTGTGTGATGGGGACAGCGTGTGTGATGGGGACAGCGTGTGTGATGGGGACAGTGTGTGCGGTGGGGACATGTGTGTTTTGGTGGGAACCGTGTGTGGTGAGAACAGTATGTATTTGGGCGCAGTGTGTGTTTGTTGGGACAGTGTGCAGACACGCCGTGGGGAGCTCCCCTTGGGGGTACAGCACCCCACGAGGCCCCAGGACTCCTGCCCCCTCCCCTGCCTGTGGCAACCCCCCTGGACTCTGACCAGTTACCCTGCTGTCCTGTCCACCCAGGGTGAGGTGTCCCATCCCCTCCCCTGCCTCCCTGCCTCTGTGCCCCCATCTGCCCCCATACCCCCTTGCCGGCCCCAACCTTCCCAGGGCCCAAGCGCCCCTTTCAGCCTCTGGAGTCTGGGCTCCCCACCCAGCCACCGACCCAAGGGGTGTCAGTAGAGGGGGAGGGGGAAACCCAGAAGGAGGGGATAGGGACGGGAAGGGGAATGAAGGGACGGGGGAACCAGCGGAGGAAGGGGTACAGTCCGTCCTGGACTACCTCCCGGGGCCCCTCTGTGGACGCATGTCCGAGCCCTCACAGACAGAATCACAGGCGGGAGCTTGGGTGGTGAAGAGACCTGCCTCCCACCCCCGAGGGTCTGATGTCCTCTCCCATCCCAGAGCGCCCCCACACCCCCTGCAGCCCCCTCCAACCTCGTGCTCAGAGGACAACCTGTCTCCCAGTGCAGAGCTTCAGGTCCCAGTATGACTGTCCAGTTGCCGCCCCCTGAAGAGGGGTCAGCTTCAAGTTCAGAGTCGCCGGAAGTGCTGGGCACCGGGGACAGGTCCCCTGCAGGGTCTGCACTTTGCTGGATGCCTGGCGGCCCTCAACTTGGCCTGACCCATCTCCCCAGCCCCAGGTTGAACCCCCATCCCACCTCCAGGCCACAAGGGTGGGTGTGCCCGTCCACGTGGGGCATCCACGTGGGTCGGCCGTGGCCGCACTCTCTCTGCCAGACTAGGCACTTTAACCGCTGGCCAGCTCCCCCGGGGAGTGGGGGGCGGCGGCCCCAAACCCAGCCTTGCCTGCAGCCACAGGACCCACCTGGCCGGCAGGGACCCCTCCCGCGCTCCAGCCGCCCACACACCTCAATGGCTGAGGCTCTGGCAGTGGCCCTTTGTTCGCAAACGACGCTTCCTCTGCTCAGCGCCTCGCCTGCAGACACGGCTTTGATGCTCTTTTTCCGCCGTTTCAGATTTCTTTAATGTGTTCCCTTCACAGCCGAACCCTGAGAGCCTTGAGCCGGGGCTCAGCGCCCGCTGTCAGGCAGTTTCTGTCTGGTTATTTTATGCTAATGAGACCCACGCGTGGCATCACTAATATCAGCAGTTTCATTTTTCCTATTTTCCATTCATTACGATAAAATGCAAATTCCATGACATAACAGAATCATCTCACAAAAGTCCGGGGCTGTGTGGCCAGGCCAGGGCCCTGGAGACCCCAGGACCACCCACCCCAGCCTGGGCAAGTGCTGGGGGCCGGTCACAGGTCAAGCCCTCAGCACTGGAGGTTGTCGGGAGGCTGCTGACAGTGGAAAGATCTGGAAACTGGCCACACCCAAGCCTGGCATGGGGCCTCCAGAAAGCTGGACCCAGAAGCCCCTGAAGCTGGGGGTCAGGGTGCTAGGCACCTGACGTCCTTCTGCAGGAGGCCAGCAAGGCCAAGGCAAAGGAAGACCACCGTGGGCGCGGGAGGGGAAGGGTCTCCGGTGAGCCTGCGGTACACGTCCCAGACCCAGGCTCTGGGGCTCAGGTGGGCCGCAGTGGCCTTGCAGCCCTGGAGGCAGGGGCCACATCTCTGTTGGAGCAAGAGGGGCCAGGCAGCAAGCCCTTGGCACGATCCATCCATGCTGACCACTGCCCACTGCCCACTGCCCAGAAGGGCGGCTGGGTGGGAGCAGCAGAGGCCTGGCCAGGCACTTGCCCACCCCCCAGAGCCCCAAGAGGGCAACCCACCTCCCAAGGGCAGAGGATGGCTGGGGGACAGGAGAGGGGAGGGCCCTGTACCCCTCCCATCCTGTCCCCCAACAACAAATAAAAGACAAGAATTGTCCAGGAAAGAAGGACCCCCAGGCGGAGGGGGAGACCAATACCTCCTCCATTTGTCTCTGTCTCTCTTTGTGTCTCTATCTCTGTCATTCTCTCTCTCCCTTCCCCCTCTAGCTCCCTCCACTACCCCCACCCCTGCTCTCTCTCTCTCTGCTCCCGTCATGTCTCTCTCCCCCCATCTCTTTCCCCTCTCTCCCTCTGTCTCTCTGTCTCTCTCTCTCTACGCCCCATCTGCCTCTCTCTCTCTCTCCCTCTCTCCATATTTCTCCCTCTCTCTCTGTCCTCCCATCTCTGTCTCTTTCTCTCTCTCTCCTCTCTCTCCCTCTCCGTCTCTCTGTCTCTCTGTCTCTCTCTCTCTCTCTCCACCCCCGCCCACATGGAGGAGGAAGAAGAGGGGGCGGGGGCTCGGGGCGTGTCCCTCCCACCTGACCCGGGACAGTTTCCTTTCCGCTCCGCCACCTCTGCCTGAGCAGTGGAGGAGGAGGAGGTCACAGACTGGCGGGCTGGCGCACCGGCATGGGGACCCCGCGGGCGCCCTGGCCACTCGTCTGGGCCGTGCTGCAGCTGGGCTGGCGGCCAGGTTGGCTCCTAGGTACGTGGGTCAGGGTCGGGTGGCACGGGATCAGGGCTCAGGAAAGACCTCCTGCCCTTGGTTCCTGGCGGGTGGGGAGGGGGCTTCAGTGGGGCCAGCTCCCGAGGCCCAGCACTGCCCCTGGCCGGGCGCTGTGTGGCTTTGGACAGGTGAAGTGCCCTCTCTGGGCTCTGGCTCCTAACCTGGTGGTGAGCCCCATCCTCACCAGGCTGGACCTCTGACCTCCCAACTCTTCCTCAGAGTCCCACAGGACAGGTGAGCCGGTGCCCCTCTCTGTAGGATGATAGGGCTGGGCTGGCCAGAGCCCCAAGCCTCGGCCCAGCTGCCCTACTTGTGTTTTCCCCCGGGACGAGCACCACACGGGATTGACCAGCTCTGGGAGGTCACAGGCTGGACACCTGGAGCCGGTTCTCCAATTATATTCACAGTGTACCCGTCCCAGTAAAGACTGTCCACCCCCACTCCTCATGGGCCTGGGGCGCGCCCCACTGGGGTCTCTGGACGAGATTCGCAGGCAGAGTGCTGGGCAGGGCTGTGTCATGGCTCTGGCGGGGGTCCCAGGCCCCGAGGCCGCTGTGTGGGCCGTCCACTCCTCCTGGTGGCCCTCGGCCTCGGCCACTGCACCAGGCCAGCACAGCATGGACGGGAAGGCCAGGCAGGTGGATCCCCCGTACCCAGCCCAGGGCCTGTCCTGTCTGGACCTCACTGGGCTCGGGGGTATGACAGTCCCTGGAAGGACCAAGGCAAGATGGGAGTGCCCTGACATCCCACTGGGGCCGCCCGTCCTGGTGTCCCTCCATCATCTCTGTCCCTCCCGGGCTTCCCTCCTCAGCATGGCCTCGCGCTCCGGGGAGGCCCGTGGGCCACCCTCAGGACCGATGGAGGACACAGAGCTGGGGTCGGAGGCCTGAGGGCCTGCGGCCAAAGGTGCCCCACGAGGGGCCTTGCAGGGGAGCCCAGGCCCAGGGCGGAGGGGTGCGTGTCGTCCGGGGAGGAGAAACCGAGGCGTGAAGGGGCCCATGACTCATCCCTGGCGGCCCACTGCCCACCAGGACCCCTTCCTAAAGCAGGGAAAGATGAGAATAAGATTCTGCAGCAAAACTCTCTGGTTTCAGATGCACTAGCTTGTGTCTCGAGGGAGATTTTCAGACCAGGGTGCCTCAGTTTCCCCATCTGTAATGGAGCCCCAGCATAGAGCACTTTGCTTTGCCGACATCACTTGCCAGGGTCGTCCTGCTATTCTGCCCAGACGCAGGCCCCCCTGGCTGCAGGAACCTTTTGTTCCGTGACACATCTTTTTCCTTCCTAATGAATTCACTGTATTTGTTATTTTGATCATTCCCTTGGATAATCATCCTCCCTTTACGTAAGCGTTTTTCTTGCATTTTATGAGATAGCCCAAACCCTGTAGTGAGCCGACCCCTATCCTATCCCAGCAATGAGACAGATAAGAGTACAGGCTTTGAAACAGAACAGCCTTGAGTTCAATTAAAGCCATCATCGTCGAGCTTTGCAACCTTTGGCAAAACCTAACCTCTCTGAGCAACAGTGCTCTATGGCAATTTGGGGATAATAATATCTGCTTTATGGGGTCATGAGAATTAAATCAGGTCATTTATGCAAACTGTCCGGCCCAGCCCATGATTTATTTTTTAAAGTCAGATTTGTTTCATTTTTTTTAACTTACAATTTTGAAAAATATTTGAAACATACAGAAAAATGACAAAAACACAGCAGTAACCACACTGAACCAGAGTCCCAACTGATGACACTGGCATATTTGCTTTCTGCATTAGTTTGCTGGGGCTGCTGTAAGACACCACACACCAGGCGACTTACATACACTACATAACAGAAGGTCATCGTCTCCTAGTCTGGAGGCAGGAAGCCAAGATCGCGGTGCCGGCTGGGCTGATTCCTCCCAAGGCCGTGAGGGAGAATCTGCTCCAGGCCTCTCCCAGCGTCTGGCAGTTTGCCGGCACCCTCGGCATCTCTGGCTTGTACAAGCATCACCCATCTCTGCTCCATCATCACACGGCCTCTCCCTGTGCGTGTCGGTGTCAGATTTCCCTCTTCTTGTAAGGACATCAGTCACGTTGGGTCAGGGGTCCACCAACTCTACAACCCTTAACATCTGCAACAACCCTATTTCCAAAAACAGGAAGGTCACATTCTGAGGTTCTGGGGGTTAGGACTTCGACATAAGAACTTGAGGGGGGCACGGCTTAGCACACAGCACTTTCCATCTCTGCGCTTTACTGAGATACCAGCTGACCCACTTGCTGGCTAGTTGCAGACTTCCCTCCTAATGCTCCCAACGTTCTCCCCATGGGACAGCAGCTCTGAGGCAAGCCTAGAGTCCAGATGCTCCTGCGTCCCCATCCAGCCCTCTGGCTGATCACCTGTTTCTGATGGGAGCCAAGTCAAGGACCGCTGGCTTACTTCGATGTTGCTGTCCTCAGCTTCCTCTGACCTAGAGCAGTCCCCACCTGTCTCTGTCTCTGCTGGCCCTGGCATTCTTTTTTTTTTAAATCAATCTCAGTTTTGTGTTAGAAATGGAAAGCCTTAGAATTAGGAATATTTTGTTATTGAGATATAATTGACATAACATTATATTAGTTTCAGGTGTACAACATAATGATTCGATATTTGTATATATTGCAAAATGGTCACCACAGGTCCAGTTAACATCCATCACCATACAGAGTTACAAAGGGTTTTTTTCTTATAGTAAGAACTTTCAAGACCCACTCTCCTAGCTACTTTCAAATATGCAACATGGTATTATCAACCGTAGTCGCCATGCAGTACATGACGTCCCCAGGACTTACTCATTTTATAACTGGGAGTTGGTACCTTTTGACCCCCTACCCCCATTTCGGCCACCTACCCCCACCTCTGGCAACCACCTATCTGTTTTCTATATCCATAAGGTAGGTTTTTGTTTGGTTTGGTTTTTGGGTTTGGGGTTTCTTTTAGATTCTACACATAAGTGAGATCATACGGTATTTGTCTTTCTCTGACTTATTTCATTTAGCAAAATGCCCTCAAGGTCCGTCCATCTTATCTCAAATGGCAGGATTTCCTTCTTTTTCATGGCTGAATAATATTGCATTGTATATATATACCACAATTTCTTTATCCATTCATCCATCAGTGGACACTTAGGTTGTTTCATATCTTGGCTATTGTGACTAATGCTGCAATGAACATGGGAATGCATATATCTTTTTGAATTAGTGTTTTCATTTTCTTCAGATACCCAGAAGTGGAATAGCTGGATTGTTGGGTAGTTCTAGTTTTAATTTTTTGAGGAATCTCCATACTGTCTTCCATTGTGTCTGCACATTTACATTCCCACCAACAGTGCACGAGGGTTCCCTTTTCTCCACATCCTCACCAACACTTGTTATCTCTTGTCTTTTTGATAATAGCCATCCTGACAGGTGTGAGGTGATATCTCATTGTGATCTTGATTTGCATTTCCCTGATGATTGGTGATGTTGAGCATCTTTTCGTGTGCCTGTTGACCATCTGTGTGTCTTCTTTAGAAAAATGTCTATTCAGATGGTCTGCCCACTTTTAAATCGGATTATTTGTTTTTTTGCTATTGAGCTGTATGAGTTCTTTATATATTTTGGATGTTAGCCCGTTATCAGATATAGGATATGCCAATATCTTATTCCATTCCATAGGCTGCCTTTTCATTTCATTGATGGTTTCCTTTGCTGTACAAAAGCTTTTTAGTTTCATGTCGTCCCACATGTTGATTTTTGCTCTGTTGCTGGCCCTGGCCTTCTGGAAGGGTCCAGGCCGGGGGTGCAGGCACTCACCCTCCGGGTGTGTCTAACGTTTGTTCCTGGGAGATCACAGACGTGTTGGTTTTCTTGGGGCACCTGTGGGGACCTCATAATGGGGACATTCCCTCTGGGCCCACAGAGAAGGAGGTGAAGTAGTCCCTTTCCCTCTGTGATGAATAAGTGACCCGAGGGGGTTTTGAGGACCCGCAGTCCATCAGGCAATGCTTTCAGCACCCACAGGTGGCTCTTTCCCAAATCGGGTGTTAGGTGGTTGTTGTGAAACGTGCTGTCTGTGAGGCCGCCTGTGAGCCATGCAGGGTCTCCGTGGGAGGCAGGCTGGTGCCACCTCGACACTCGCAGCCTCTCCCAGGACCGCCACTCTCTCCCTCCTGACCCTACGGGGCACAGAGCTCCCGCCTCAGCCCACTCCCCAAACAGAAAAGAGGACCTGGGGGCCCCTCACGGAGGTCCTATTATCAAGCATAAAGTAAATAGACAATGTTTAGATTTTTAATTACACAAACACTGTAGGAAAAGATTGATAGATATTCATACTATAGGGATAAAGCAAAACCCCAGTCCACTGTACTCAAAGTAAGCTCTGTTATCAGCACCTTGCCAGGAAAGTTCTGGTTGACTTAAAGGTCTGTGTGTATCTGGACCACCCGTCGCAGGATCCCCTTTGGCTGTGCCACATGCTCCCAGAAAGCAGAGAGCTGGGCTCCCCAGTCTGGCTCCAGTGAGGTCTCTGGCCTCATGCTCCCCTGGTCGGCTTCTCCATGGTGTTCCCGGCTCCCATTCTGTGCCCCGAATGGACCCCTCAGGGAGCATCCAGGGTGGCCCTGGCCGTGAGACAGGGTTTCTGTTTGGAGGTCTTGGCAGTTCACCACGTAGTGGCATGGATTCGGGAATGGGGTGGGAGAGCCATCTAGGAGTGGCGCCATCCAGACTGGGAATTCCTGAGGGGTGTTTGTGAGGGGGACCTGGGTTTCTGGTCCCGAAGTGTGCACGCTGCAGTGGGAGCCTGGGATGCATGGGGCGGGTGAGGCACAGAGCAAGGTGGGCAGGCGGAACCAGTGCCCTCAGGTCTGGTGCTCCAAGGCCACAGCACGACTTGGCCAAATTCAAGTCCAACTAGTCCATCACAGACAGGCTGCTTTTTTAAGTAGACTGTGTGCTTCTCAAATAAATGATAAAGGCATTCATGTCAGTGCTGCCAAGGGAGTTCCCGTGTGGCGGCCTGGGGGTGTGGGGTGTGAACACACAATTGCTAGCACGAAAAGGGCTTACTGTGGGCCCCACCGGTGTTTGTGTCACCCCGGGAGAGCGGAGGGAGTGAGCAGGTGCCCCGGCCCCACGGGGCAGTGGGCCTTGCTGAGAGGGGAGGACGCCACCTGCGCCAGCCACCCCCACGGTCCAGGCCTAGCCCTCTTCTGGGCTCCTTGGCCTCCCTGACACCCCATGCCCCCCTGGCCAGTGGGACAGGCCCTCTGAAGAGCCACAGAGATGCACGGACCCACCTGCCCTGCACAGAGCCACTCCCTCCACAGGGGCCCAGGGACCCCCGGACTGGAGGGGCCTCGTGGCCCCAGCTCACGTGAGGCACCACCTTCGTGCCCAGCTGGACGTGGTGATGCATAGTGCCAACAGCCGCAGTACTGGCCGTGCACCAGCCCTGTTCATCCGTCAGTGGCCGGGGGAGGCGGAAGAGGAGCAGAAAGGGCCCGAGGTCCAGGCTGCTGGGCCAGGCCTCTCCAAGCCTCAGTGTCCTCAGTGTAAATGGGGGCGGGGATGGAGATGGTCCCCACGTCCCTGAGCAGGCCGTGGAAATGTAAGCATGCGGGGACACTTCAGGACCCACCCTGGTCTCAAGGCCCGTCTGCCCTTGCTAAATATCTGTGATTTCACCCCGCTCGAGGTGCCCCATGGGGCACAGGCAGAAGAAATCCTCCTGGTCACATGTGCCCTGATGTGGCCCACTCGGGGGAGGCCCTGAGCCCGCCAGACTGCGGGGGCACTGGGTCCTGGCACCGTCCACTTCCTCCTCGGAGCCGAGATTGCTCAGCAAGCAGGTCATTGCAACAGCCTTAGGCCCTCCTGTGCCCGGAAGCAGAGGGACCATAGCCAAGGGACCACAGCCTCATGGGGGTGAGGAACCACGCCCAGCAAACATTATCGCTGGGGCTGGGGCTGAGTAAAACAATGAGTGTGAAGCCAGGAAGAATAGGCGTGAGAACAGAAATGAGAACAGAAGTGAACGACATGAGATGAACAGCCCCACAGGCTCCTCCCAGGACCGACATCTCGGGGTCTAGCACAGTATTTGGGAACCCAGTGGTGTGGGACATGTTGGACAGGCCAGGAAAATGACCTCATTGGGCAGGGTCTCCTCCCCTGGTGAGGAGGCTGCGGCCGAGGCCGGAGGAGCGTGGCAGAGGGCTGGGTGGGTCCCAGGCCCAGCCACAAGGCAGGGGGCCAAGGGGAGCTGGCTGCAGACCTGGGGTTGGGTCTGGACAGAGCTGCTTGCTCCCTCCAAGCCTCAGTTTCCACATGTGTAAGTGAGGGCTCATGGTACAGCCTTCCAGGGGGAGCCGCGGCAGGAAAGGAAGGCCCAGCACATGTATGTCCGGCCATGGTTCCCATTCCGGGACCCCTGCATCGCCGTCAGAGTTGGCCTTAACTCAACGTGGGGTGCTGCTGGTGTGTCCCCTGGGCCTCCACGGGAGAGGCTCCTTCCCCTGCGTGCCGGCAAGCCGAGTGTGAGTGTGTAAGAGTGTGCACACTCATACGAGTATGTGAACATGAGTGTGAGTGTCAGTGTCAGTGTGAGAGGCAGGCCCTTGGTGGAAAGAGCCGCGGGCCCCAGCGATATTGTGGGGGCATCCACTGGCCAGGGCCCTGACAGTCGGAGCCCAGCATCATCGAGGCCTCTGCTTCTGTCCCTACCAGAGGCAATGGCCCAGCTAGACTCTGAGGTCCAGTCCCCAGAGTCTTGGCAGAAGACGTGGAGGCCCCCACACTGCCCAGGTCAGCAGTGCCCACATGGGGGTCCTGGTGGGACCCGGGTCCCGGCTCTGAGCTTGTCCTGAGATAGGGCGAAGCCCAGACCCTGAGCCTGCCTGGGGCGGGGCTTTCCTGGGAAGCCCCCCACTCTCCCAGCCCTGCCCCCCAGTTACCCTCCCCCTCCACCACAGCAGTGCAGACAGGACCAGGCAGGCCCCCAACACTGGGGATAGGTCCGCAGGACTGGCAAACTGGAGTCACCAAGGGAGGGAGTGAACACCCTTACAACCACCACTAGGGGAGAAACAGGGCCCCAGGGGTCGCCTAGAACACAGCCCTGGCCTCAGGTCTCAATACAGTCAAGGGACAAAGTCCTACCGTGGAGTCTTCTGGTGAGAGGTGAGCGCCCCATCCCCAGGGGCATGCAAGGAGAAGCTGCAAGGCTCCACGGCAGAGGTGCTGCAGAGGGATTCCAGCATGGGCTGGGCCTTCCAGAACCTTCCTATTGGGAGGTGGGAAAGTGGGAGGGGAGGGTATGGGTGGGCTGTCCCCACACCCCTTCCTCACCAGCCGCTGGTTCTCTCTCTACCTCTCAGACTCCCCGGACAGGCCCTGGAGCCCCCTCACCTTCTCCCCGGCCCGGCTCACAGTGCCCGAGGGGGCGAATGCCACCTTCACCTGCAGCTTCTCCAACACATCCGAACACTTCGTACTCAACTGGTACCGCATGAGCCCCAGCAACCAGACGGACAAGCTGGCCGCCTTCCCCGAGGACAGCAGCCAGCCGGGCCAGAACAGGCGCTTCCGTGTCACGCGGCTGCCCAACGGGCGAGATTTCCACATGAGCGTCGTCGCCGCCCGGCGCAATGACAGTGGCATCTACCTCTGCGGGGCCATCTCCCTGCCTCCCAAGGCGCAGATCAACGAGAGCCCCCGCGCAGAGCTCACGGTGACAGGTGACCCTGAGGGCAGGGCTAAGCTGGGCAGCCTTGGCCACAGGGCATGGTGGGCAGGGACTTGCCAGGCTCCACTCCAGGGCTCTGTCCCACACCCAGGACCACAGTGACCGGTGGCCTGGCCCTCCGTGACTGGAAGCACCCCCAGGCCCACGTGTCCTGAAGGAGGGCAGGGCCCGAGGGAGGGCCGGGGGAGGGGGCCTCTCTGGACGCGCCTGTGCTCGGAAGCCCTGCCGAGGGGCAGGCCTGTGCAAGACAGGTCAGTGCAGGTCTAGAGCAAGGCCCCTTGGGACGTGGAGAAGGCAGGGCAGGGCTCTGGGTCCCTGTCCCTGAGGAGTCCCCATCGCTGAGTCTCTGTTCCTGTGCCCCTCCAGAGAGAGTCCTGGAGCCGCCCACAGAGCACCCCAGCCCCCCACCCAGGCCCACAGGCCAGCTACAGGGCCTGGTCGTGGGCATCACGAGTGTCCTGGTGGGTGTCCCGCTGGTCCTGCTGCTGACCTGGGTTCTGGCCGCCGCCTTCCCCAGGGCCATTCAAGGTAATGCCCCTGTCAGCCCCCACTGCTGTCCCCGGCCTGCCCCCTACTGCTCTCCACAGTGAGGACCCCCAAGGAGGGGCTGGACTGGACCTCCCAGGGTCTGGGATCCCCTCAGAGCCCCTGACCACGTCCTCTCCCCGGTGCCTGCTCTCAGGAAGGGTCTGAGGGGAGGGGCGAGAGGGGAAGGCGATTGTCAAGGTCGCACAGAAAGGAGCAGCCCCCCCACAGGCTGAGCCACTGTTCTGGCTGTGCTGCGGCTGAGCCCAAACCTCAGGCTGCAGGACGCTGCAGGTGTTTCTGACAGCCGCTGGGCGCCTGTGGTCACGGCCACAGCCACCGGGGAGGTGTGTGATACCCTGATCTGACCACCGAGGGCCGCTGCGGATGCCCCACGCCCGCACACACACCTTGACCACATGCGGTCTCGGGCAGCTAGTCTCACTCCATCACTCTGACGATGAGGGGTTGTCTCTGGGGCTGGAAGGAGAAGCCAGAGTCTATTCTCTTAGAGCTACTGCCCAGACAGGACCCAGCCCAGGGGTCTGCCCCCTCCCAGGCCCTGCACACCGGCAGCTCCAGGTCATGCTCTCCTGGGACGGCCCGTTGGGGCGGGGGTGGGGGAGGGGCAGCGGTGGTTGGCCAGAGAACAGGAGGCCCCACAGGGGCCTGAACAAGACCCTGGGCAGCTGCTGGCCTCCGCCATCTCCCCCTGGGCGGGTCAGGGAGAGCGGCCCCACGGAGCTGCCGGCAGTTCTTAACCTGCTGCAGTAGGCCCCTGTGGGAGCTGGTTTCTCCAGTGATCCACGTTTTCCTCCTTCCAACATTTTTGAGGACGTGACATGTGCCCCGTGTGCTGGCCCTGGGTAGAGACACGCGTGGCATTTCTGTGCGGCCTCAGTCGGAGTGATGCTCGCTACAGTGTCATTGATCACGGCCCGTTGTGGGCCTCTCTGTGCCGGGGGGGCGGGGATGGGTTTGGTGCCCTGTGGTGGGTTTGTGACCAGAGATGGCAGGCACCTGCTGCAGGAGCCCTCAGGCTAGAAGCCGGCGGTCCTTCATGGCCGCGCCCAGACAGCCCACCGTCCAGACCTGACACTTGGGAGACGAGCTGGGGCTCCAGGTTGTTGCACGGGGAGTGGTGGGGTGAGTCAGACAGTTGGGGAGGGCAAGGAGGACACTGGGTCACCCAGGAAAGAAGCATGGTGCCCTTCCCAGCCGCCGGCCTCCCCAAGCCCCTGGCAACAAGGCCCCTGTGAGCCCCCCTCCCCCCATCCCGGGGTCCTTGACTCCAAGCTCACTTCTCCGCAGGGGCCTGTGGCAGGAGCGAGGACCAGCCTCTGGTGAGTTTGCCTCCCTTTGCTGCGATCACGAGGGACCACACACCGCACTGGGGGGTGGGGGGGCCACTCTGCGCAGGGGAAAGCAGCCTCAGGAGCAGCCACACCCACCACCAGCCATGTCACCGTGTTTGAGCTTGGGGACACAGACCCCGGGAAGGGTGGTGGGGCACAGGCCATGCCCCTGCTCCGTGTGTGTGCATGTGTGTACACACGCGAGTCCCGGCCCCTGGGAGGCCGCTGACTCCTCTCCCTCTCTCCCTAAGAAGGAGGGCCCCTCCGCTGCGCCCGTGTTCACTGTGGACTACGGGGAGCTGGACTTCCAGTGGCGAGAGAAGACCCCCGAGCCCCCCGCCCCCTGCATCCCTGAACAGACTGAGTACGCCACCATCGTCTTCCCCAGCAGGCCGTGTTCGCCAGGCCGCAGGGCCTCCGCCGACGACCCCCAGGGGCCACGGCCTCTGAGGCCCGAGGATGGACACTGCTCTTGGCCCCTCTGATGGGCTCCCTCCACTGGCCCGAGTCCTTCAGACCCTCTGCCGAGAGCCCAGGCGGCACCTTCCCTGGAGGAGACACCCGGGGCTGAGCCCTGTCGGGGTGACCACCCCCTACGCCTGGCTCCCCCTTTAATGCTCGTGGTGACCTGGGAGCAGGAGGTTCCACTGTCCCATGTGGGTGAGGGAAGGAGACTCGCCCAGGACTCCAGGCCCAGAGCTGGCCGGAGCTCTGCGCCTCCTGCACTCGCCCTCCCTGGGGGCGCATCCGGCAGGTGCTGTGGCAGGGGTGCGAGTCAGGCTTCAGGAGTCTCCATGGCCCCCGCTGCCTCCCGGGAGAGCTTAGTGCCTGGACAGGGGGTTACAGGGGTCCTGGTTGGAGACGCTTCCTTGGAGCGGCCGGTGAGGCAGCCCCGTAGCAAGGAGATCCAGCACACACCTCGAGAGCTCACAGGGGACGTGCACGGGGCTGGGACTCCTTCAGGGGCCCTCATGCTCCCCAAGGCCTAGACAAGAGCTCCTGGCCACGGTGGGCAGGGCAGAGGCATGGTGCCAGCGGGCCGACCTCTGCATGCATCCCCTCCACCCTCACCCAGCCCGGGAAATGAGGCAATGAAGGGCACAGGCAGAGCTGGAGTCTTCCCAGCTGGGGCTATCCTGGGGGGCCCCCAGGAGTCACCCCATTTATCCTCACCAGGGAGTCACTGTCTCCTTGGCGCCCATTCATGGTGCTATTTAAAGGGGCCTCGGCTGGGCTACCACCAGGGTGGTGGGCTGGGTGCAGGTGTGTTCCCTTGGCCAGATGCCCTCCGACCAGGCCTGCCTCTCTTCGCTCGGCCCGCACACCGCGCGTCGGCTGTCTGGGCAGGGCAGCCAGTGGCCCAAGCGTCAGGGACTTGGAGTATGTGTCCCGTCTTGGGTTCCAGACACACTTCAGAGCCCCTAAGCCCAGGGGACTTGGTTCTATTATATTATAATTAAATAATGACGCAGCTCCCAGAAAAGCCGAGTTCTCTCCTGCTCACGGTTGTGGGGGGAGCAGGGAGGGAGGCCAGCCTCTGCCAAGCAGGGCCACAGGCGCCACGCTGAAGACGGAGGACGTGGCTGGCCGTCCTGAGGCCTGGCCCACATCAGCCCACCGGGCCCTCACCTCACTGTCCCAGAAACACACAGGGCCCAGAGCCCCTAATTCCATTCCCTCCACACTCACACCCACAGCCTCCGTGGCACCAAATCCCTCTGACTTCTAGGGCCGCCAAGCACCACTCCCCCCCCAGTGGCCCTTCCCAGGCTCCATGCCCCCCGGGTCCCAAGACACCTGCCCCAGACCATCTCAACCCAGCGCGGGGCGACCCTTGAGTTGTTGTGCCTGTATCTGCCCTGCTCCACCCCCATGTGCCCCAACACCTGGGAGTCCCTCTCGGGCAGTGCCAGTGCCCTGGGCAGGGGGCCGGGCCAGATGGGTGGGTGGGCACCACTGGGCTGTGAGTGAGCAGGGGCCAGGGTGCCGTGGGCAGGGTGCAGCACCTGTGGGGAAACGTAGTCCCTTCCCATATGCAAAGGGGATGCCTGTTCTGTCCACCTGGAGGGGATCCACCACCACCACGGGGTTCTCAGCTCTTGTCCCTGACTACAGTGACAGACAGCCCCAGCCTCGCCCCTCCCAGTGAGCCCTGTCCAGGCCCTCAGGCGCCCCTGCCCACTCCCAGCCCTGTGAGCTCCCATCATGTGCCCACCACCCTGGGGTCCTGTCCTGGGCGGAGCAGGAGGTGGAATCACCACATCCAAGACAAGCGGGGATGCACTTCGCTCTGGAGGTGCCAGGCAGTCACCCATCAGCAGGAACACTGCTGGGACGTTTGCAGATGACGCGGTTTGCGTGCATGGAAAACCCAGTAGGTTCTGTGGAAAAACTGCCACAGCGATAGGAAAATCTGGTCGAGTAGCAGATACAAAATTAACATTCAGAAATGAGTGGCTTTCATGTATTCAAACAATAACCAGTCAGAAGAAAAAGTGAGAGAGAATATTCCGTCTGCAACAGCAACAGAAAAGATAAAATGCCCAAGGCATGAATGTAGTGAGAAGGAGAGCTGGCGCAGTGTGGGCCGAGCACGCTGCATTCTCGGTCAGGATGACACGACACCCTCAGAACGTCAGCCCTTCCTGAGTTAATGCATAAGTTTGACACGATCCCAGTAAGAACCCACATTTCTATAACTGTAAAGTTCACATGGAAAGATAAACCAGCAAGAAACAGCCAAGAAAACCATGAAAAGAAAGTGAAAGAAGACCAGCTTTATCAGATCTAAAACTAATTGTAATTAAAACAGAGGTGTTAGCTCATGAAAAGAAGGAATAGATCCTTCTATGGGGCAGGCAGGGGGGGATAGACTTCTTAATAAATGGTGTTGGGACAGCACAGCTATTTGGAAGAATGTTCAGGGAGACCCACACCTTCGCCTCAAGCTTGTGTAAGTCCCAAGAGCAACAGACATAAATATAAACAAGAAACTACAAGACCCAGAAAAAAACGAGGGTGAATTCCTTCCCTGGAAGGGGTAGGAACCTTCCCAACATGGGCTCAAAATCGGGGCACCGATACAGAGGAGACTGAGACATTCAGCTCTGCAAACAGAGAAAACGAGAAAAATGATCAAAGTAAATGGGAGGAGTATTTGCAATATCACCCAAGAGGCTAATTCCAGAAAGGTCTAAAAATATGGGAAGAGCAAGGTCAAAGGTACAAGGGAAAAGTGAGCAGATGTGACCAGACAATTCACGCATGCACACACGCTCTATATACACACATCCCTCAAACAGGGACAGGATGTTCAATTTTACTCATAATAAGAAAAATGCAGATTACAACTGCACCGGTCGAGTGGCGAGCCTCTGGAAGCTGGATGCCGCGCTGCTGGAGGACATGGGGCCGAGGCCCCTCCTGCACTGCGGGTGGAAATGCACACTGGAGGAGGACTGGGCATGACCCAGCAGTTAGCTCTTTGACCCATGAACTCTACCTGTGAAATACCTGCCAGGGGTAACTGGCAAGAAAGTGAAGCGACAGAAGCACGTGGGGTTCACTGTGCTGGGTCTGGGGCGGCAGAAGGCTGGGGAGGCCCCGAGGCACAGGGGCTGAGCTGGCCCCAGCAGCTGAAGCAGGTGGGGTCTGGCTCGGACACCCGGTGAACTCGGCTCCTTGGACGGATGCCCGTGCAGTCAGTGCAGGATGTGTGCAGGAAGGACTGAGACGACTTGCTGCCCCAAAAGCAAAAAACCAGGCTAGGGTCCTGTCCAAAGACAAGGCAGCAATTTGAGCATCGAAAATACCAAAATTAAAATTAAAAATCGAATTGATTAGCTCACCTTGAGAACATTTAAAAGAGCATGAGTTCACACTGATACCAAAAAAAAAAAAAAAGACAAAAGAGCGTGCAGCAGGGAGGGAAGGAAGCGGTCGCCTCTCAGAGCCGCCGTCCGAGCTGGTGGTGCAGGGCCACCCGCTGGTGGCAGCACGCGGCTCAGATAAGAAGTGAGAGGGACGCAGTCAGCACTTTGCATTCTGCCTTCCCGTAAGGCGGCCCCTGCAGCCTGCCTCCACTCACTTTTTCCGTTCCCCTGCTCTGCCCCCGTCGCATGTGTCACCAGCCCTAGCCGGAGTGTCTCGCCCACTGCCACCCACACCTGCTCCAGTGGGTCCGTCCCTCAGCATCTGAGCATCTCACGAAGCGGGTGTCAGGAGGGCCTGGGCGTGGCCAAGTCTCAGCCCCGGGCCTGGGCTTCCCGAATGAGGCCTGAGACCCCAGCAGGCAGGGGACCCAGAGCCGGAAGCAGAGTGGCTACCCAGCAGCCTGGGGCCCACCAGGCTCCCTGTCCTGCCCCCTAAGCCCCATCCTTGCAGCCCCTCTGCCCAGGACACCCCCTTCCACCACCTGTTCCCTCTCTGTCCTGGTCTGCAGTGCTAGGCATCGACTGGACGCCTCGGCGTAAAAACCCAAGGTCCTGGGGACAGTTGGGACGGGAATCTGAGCCCTGCCAGGAAATTCAAGGTTGGGGCCTGTGGGAAGGGTTGGGGGCTGTGGCCAAGGTCTGCCCCGGGAGAAAGAAATGGATCTCAAAGAGAAGCTGCCCCCGGGGTTACAGAGGCGGGGCTGGCAATGTGGGCCCTGGGGGGCTGGCATGGGGGCCCTAGGGGGTGCTGGTGTTTGGGCTCTGGGGGGCCAGTGTGGGGGCCCTGCGGGGGGCCAGCGTGGGGGCTCTGGGGGGCTGGTGTGGGGGTCCTGTGGGGGCAGGCCTGGGGGCCCTGGGGGCCCGGCATGGGGACTCTGGGGGGCCAGTGTGTGGGCCCTGGGGGCCTGGTGTGGGGGCCTGGAGGTCTCAGCCCCAGTGGGTCAGTGGTCCAGTGTGGTCAGATGCCCCTCTGCAACTGGGTGAGGCTCCTGAGTTTCTGGAGACTTCAGGATGTGCGGGGTGAGGTGATCAAAGTGGTGTAGCTGAAGCCCCTCAACTGCTCAATCTCGCCCCTTCCTGGGGAGACCCTGCGCCCTCTGATGCTGGTCAGGCTGTCCCACCCGCCTGGGGGGCCTGTGTCTGTGGTTCCTGAGCCGACCAACTCATGTGGGCGTGAGGCTCCCCACAGCCCTCGGCTCCCACAGCGCGGGCTGCCCTGGGCTCCCTGCAGGTCAGGGGCGCCTGGGAGAGCCCCTCGAGTGGAAGGATGCACAGCCTTCACTTTGTGTCTCTCCCTCTGCTGTGTGATTTCCGCCATCCCATTAGCTCTGTTCTGTGTTGTTCCCTGCCTTCCACTTTCTTTAGGCTCAATTTGCTGTCCTTTTTCTAACTTCATGAGCTAGATGATGTCAGCCTTGCCCCTAGTCTAACAGACGCATCTAAGGCTGTCCTTTTCCCCATAGTCCCAACTTTAGCTTCATCCCACAAGGTTTTTTTTTTTGGTATTTTTGCTGAGGAGGATTGGCCCTGAGCTAACATCTGTGCCCATCTTCCTCTATTTTGTATATGGGATGCCACCACAGCATGGCTTGATGAGCCCTGTGTAGGTCCGCACCCGGG